CAAAGACGGCCTGAAACAAGCTTTCAGCATCAAGGATCTTGGGAATCTGTCCTACTTCCTCGGCCTGGAAGTCACTCGCAATGATCGTGGTATTCTTCTTAATCAACGGAAAAACATACCAGACTTGCTCAGTGATCATAATTTTGATAACTGCCATCCAGTTAAGACTCTAATGGAGCTAAATTTAAATATGCAGAAAGATTCAGGTGGGGATCCTCTCAAAGATGGGTCTCAATATCGTAGTATCGTGGGCAGTCTTATCTATCTGTCAGCTACACGTCCTGATATTTCTTACGTAGTTCAGGTGGTTAGTCAATTCATGACTGCACCGCGTGTTGATCATCTTGCAGCAGTGCACAGGATACTTCTTTATCTTAAAGGCACGCAGGATGTTGGGATTCTTTTTCCTTCGACTGGTTCTCCTAAGCTTACAGCTTATTTTGATTCAGATTTTGCGGGCTGCATTGACACACGGCTCTTGACGTCTAGATGGTGTGTTCAATTTGGTGGAGCTTACATATCTTGGTGCTTCAAGAAGCAGGATAAGGTCTCAAAATCATCAACTGAAGCAGAATACCGGGCAATGTCAGAAGTCGAGTCCGAGTTGGTATGTGATAGACCGTTAATTGCACATGTTTTTACCCCTATTCTTGAGCCGTTTGAGATGTTGATTCTCATGTTTTAGGCCTATTTCACGCTAGGTTGTGCTTGTTTGTGATATTTCAGGTCCTAGTACGTGAATGAAGGTTTGGGAACGAGTTCGGGGTCGATTGGACAAAGTTTGGATGTTTGGCGAGAAGCTGAGAAGTCAAACGGGCATGCCTAAAAGCTACACGGCCGTGTAGGGGACCCTTTGTGGCCGTGTGGAAATTCCAGGGAACTCACACGGGCACCCTGGAAGTCCACACAGCCGTGTGTGTCGTGGCCATGTAGGAAGCCTGAAGCCACTTATCGAAACTCCGCGTTTTAACACTCACACGAGCAGCCTGGGAAAGTCACACGGCCGTGTGGCCTGCCCGTGTGGTCGGGATTTTCTGGGTTTTAACCCAATTTCGAGCAAAGGAGAAGGGGATCGACTTTTCAGAGCAAAAACAGAGCCCTAGAGAGAGAAAGTGCGAAGAACACATCCTAGAAGTGATTTTGGAGCTGGGTTTCATCAATCGAGCTTGGAGATCATCATAGGAGTGAAGATCATCATCCCAGAGCAGATTCTTCCCATTGTTATGAGTATGAGTGCTTTGTATTCTGTTTTCCTCTCTCTCTCTCTCTATGGAGTAGACCCTCTTTCACTTGGGTATGAAGAACCCTAGTTCCATGTGTTAGGGATCATGATTGTAATGACTTGGGATTGCTATACTGTTTGGTTTTAATCGAATGATGCATGATTCTTTGAATTAATTGAAGTCTGATAAGCTTTTCTTGATTTCTGCTCCAACCTGAGATAGATAGAATCTGATTAGGTTGTTAGAGCTTCATCATTCGGTAGTAGTAGATTGGTTATACGAGAGTTAGTCAGTCTACTGTTTTGTACTGGAATCCAATTCCAGTAGTGGAGTTCTGTGCTTATTGCTTCAGCTTTCTATCCCGGTGAAGACTAGTCGTCTGCCGCGTAGTTGGACTGAGAGGGCTTGGTCAGTTTAAGAGACTCCAAGCTACTGTTGGATCTTCCACAGTTTAATCAACAATAAATCAACCCAGGGTAATTACAACTGAGACCTAACTAAGGAGCTAGGGGGACTCATTCCCGAGTGACTCTTCCTTTGGTTCAGAAAACCGAACCATTTCCTGCTTTCTTACTGCTTTTAGTTATAACCACAATCAATCGACTTAGTTGGCTAGATAATAGATATTCCCGGAGTAGGCAGTAGATCTAGACCCCGAGTTGATAATTAGAACTTGCCACTTTACTGCATTTTCGGACTGCGATTACACTTGGTCGCAGTTTGGTGTTGTGTCGTAGCGTGTCAGTATGGTTGCGTCGTCTCCTCTCAGATTTTGGAATAACTTGTCCTGCGCCCATGGAAGTGCATGTCGACAACACTAGCGCCATTCGCATCGCAGAAAATCATGTGCTTCATGATCGTACAAAGCACATTGAGATTCATGTGCATTACATACGTGATCTTGTTTGCGATGGCACACTCCGTTTACATCACATCCAGAAAGAAGAAAAAGTGGCTGATCTTTTCACAAAGGCATTTTCTACTAGTCTTCATTGGTACTTGGGAAACAAATTGATGCTGTCTGATCGACATAAATTTGGGGGAGGATGTTAGCGTATTAAGTGTTGGGCTAAGATTTTGTGATGTGGTCAGGTGTTTGTGAGGCCCACGTTTTTAAGACCATTGTAGAAGCCATACAGGCCCATGCACAGGTTAGAGTGACGCGAGTTGAGTCTAACCTAGGTACGTTGAATGTATAAGACGTGGGAGAAGAATGGTGCTGCCTGTAACTTTGTGTTCTCTGATCATCTCAGTAAATCAGTAGCTGAAGAGCATTCAAAGCTCTTCCGTGGATTAGTCCTGGATAATCTCCAGGGATACCTTATAAACTCCGGTGTCTGTGTTCGTTTACATTTTCGTATTACTACATCCTGTTTCTGCATCCGCTAACAGTGTCACGTGAAAGTGAAATTGGACAAGGACAATAATTCATATGAAAAGGAAAGTAGCACAAACTAGAAACAGTCAAATGACCATACAAAAGGGTAGATAGGTAGTTGTTTGTAATATATCATGTCAATGTCTTCAAAAGTAGATACACCATATATATTTTTACCTAGTAACATCTTCATATACATCGCTTAAGCGATGGTGGAGCTAGGGCTGCAAATGAGCCAAGCTGCTTGCGAATAATTTGATGTTCGAATAGGAAAAAAGTCGTTCGACGCTCGACTCGTTATTTAACAAGCTGGCTCGCGAGCCAACTCGTTAGTAAACGAGCCAAGCGTAAACTAGACTATGCTCGGCTTGATAAACTCATGAGCTAACTTGACTTGTGGCTTGTTGAGCTAAGCTCGCTAGCTAGCTTGTTTAGAGCTTGTGGAATGGTTAATCTCTTCTAAACATGAACATTATCTTCTTAATACGGATGTGTATGGAAGTTAGTTGTTATTTATAGTTTCTAGTGTTCTTTTTATCATTTAAATTCGTATGTGTACACAATATTCCGCAAGAATGATTTCAAATCGAACTTATCTTGAGCCGAGCTTGTACTCAGCTTGACAAGTTGTGTTAATGAGCATTTACTGAGCTCTACCGAGTCGAGCTCGAGTTGAATTATTTTTAATCGAGCCGAGATGGAGCTCAAGCTGGATTATCAAAATTCGAGTTTGAGCCGAGCTCGAGCTAAGCAAAAACTCGACTCTATTCAAGTCGTTTGCAACCCTAGGTGGAGCGAGACCAAACACGAGGTTCACTTGCTTGAGCCTTTTGAGCCCTCTACAAAGATTCTCATTAAATGCCTCCGGGAACACCATATCGGGCGTCGATGAGGGTCAAACATAGGATCTTCCACTTCTCAGAACGAGCGCCCACTAACAAATTTACCGCTAGGCTATATGACCTTTAATTTGGCAGTAGATACACCATTTCATTTAGGGGTCGTTTGCTTCATTGATTTAAAAATGAGGGTTTTATAGTTTAAAAATCCAAGGATTTATCAAGGATTTGAGGCATTATGGATTTGTAACAATCATTTGTTCGTTGAGATGCTTTATCATGGATTTAAGAGTTTGGGATTTAGAACTTAAAATTCAAAATTACCATATTATCATTTTCTATTTGTTTGTCATTTTTATGATATGTACACAAAACAAGGACATACGTACTAATAAGCATAATGTTACCACAACGACAATAACATTAAACTCGAAAATTCCCTTTAAATTTTAACGAAACATATATCGGTTACTAATTCATTGTCCTCCCTTTCAAAAGTAACATATAGCAACATATATTAGAAGAGGGAAACAAAGAATTACATGTTTCATGAAAAGGTTAAAGGAAAGTAGAACACAAGAAAGGGTATACAAATCTAACTCATGTTTGCACATTAATTGAATATTTATATTATTTATTTGTTGTTAATTAATTATTTATTTATAATGTACGATAGGTAAATTAGAGGGTAACCTTGGACTTTTAAAATTTCATGAGGGTATATGGATAAAATTTCATCATGGATTTATGTCATGTTACAAATCCCACATTAGTATGTGGGATTTAAAAGTCCGTGGGGTCCATGGATTTGAACCCTTAAAATCCGTGGGACCCACGGATTTGGTCCCTAAAAGAAAAGCAAGCAAACGATGGATTTTTGTTAAATCCATGATGAAATGGATTTGGATACCAAATCTATCATCTAAATCCATAAAGCAAACGACCCCATTGTTAAGAATCCAGTAGTTAAAACGGAGAAATTGGGGAGTTTAAATAGGTGACTAGGTGAGGTTAATGCCTAATGGTACAAATTTTTTTTTTTTTTTTTGCGTACAAGGAGGCTAGAGCCAAGAAGAAAAAAAAAGGGGGACAGGGGAAGCAGAGTTACCAAGCGCGGGTGGCAATTACCCTCCTCTCAAAAGAGATACCTCTCATATCGTCCTGTAAAATGCTACCTATCCCGGCAGGTGGGTTAACAAACTCATGCACACCATAGGGATAGACGAGACTGTGCTTCGAGAGCCAGTCCGCTGCTCTATTCCCTTCACGGTATGTATGAGTTATGTTCACCAACCAGTCCTGCACCATGCGACGCTTGATGGAAGCCAATAACGAGGCATGGGGATGGATAGCATCACTCCTATTCTTCAACCACTGGATCACTAGTTGAGAGTCCGTCTCGATTAAAAGATTACTGCACCTGTATTTCCAAGCAAGATTCAGTCCATGAAATAAGGCCCACAACTCGGCCAAGGCTGCAGTCGCCTCCCCGATCATGGCCACAAAGCCAGCTCGCCATCTCCCTTGCTCGTCCCGGATTAAACCTCCCGCCCCGGCCTATCATGGATTCCCAGCCGAAGCCCCATCAACATTTAGCTTCATCCATCCACTAGGCGGCGCCACCCACCTGATGTTCGCTATGACTCTAGGGACTACAGGCGAGCAAAACAGCTGAGTAGAGATGTCTGACTTCCAAGCCGTGTGCCAAAGGGTAGTCTTGTGAAAGATTGAATTGGCTAGAGAAGGGGCAGTCAACGTAGCTCCAACACCTTTAAAGCAGGCTGTGCACCTGTTCTTCCACAATAACCATATGGAAGAGGCAAAAAACTCATTCCAGGCCATACCTGACTCCATTTCCGCTTCCTTGTTGATGTTGCTTTTGATCCAATCTTCAGCAGAAGCCGAGAAGAAATTGTGATGCTCTGCCTGAGGAACCTGCTTGTGCCAGAAGAAAACAGCCGGCGGGCAGTCGCGGAGGATATGTAGGATAGTCTCAGGAATTCCATTGCATCTGTGACAGTCCGGGGAGTCCGCGCACTTCCTGGAGAAGCGAAGCACATTGGTGGCAATCTTGCCCAAGGCCACCAGCCAGGTAAAGCAACAGACTCTTTCCGGGACATGGAGCCGCCAAATCTTCTTCCAAAAGCTCTCATTGTGCACAAGTTGTCTGGGATACGCCATGAGATAAGCCGACTTAGCCGAGAAAAGTCCGTTTTCAGCCGCCGACCAGAAGAGAGTGTCTTCAGTGGTGGAGAGCGGATCCACTGCCACTGCCGTGACCTTGTTCAGGGCTTCCTCTGTCAACCAGGTCTTCAAGCGATCGACGTCCCATCTGCCATCTTCGTCCACGTAGCTTGCCACCGGATCCGCCAGCATCTCCTCCGGGATGGGCTGCACCGCGACATCGATCAAGGGAACCTGTAAACACCACACATCCTTCCAGAAATTAGTGCCTTTACCATTGTGTATATTCCACGCAAGGCCCCGTTTCAACAAATCAGAAGCTTTAGTCATGCTTCTCCAAGCAAAAGAACTTCCCTGACTCGGACGGAGCATCTCCAGACCATTCCGCCTCCTTCCATACTTGTCCTTCATGATTTGAGCCAAAAGGTTGTCTTTCTCCGTCAGAAGGCGCCAGCCAGTCTTAGCTAGGAGGGATAGGTTGGCTTGTCTTAAAGATTGAAGTCCCGCTCCTCCTTGCCACTTTGGTTCCAAGAGCTTCTCCCAAGCCACAAGGTGTAACCTCCCCTGGTCCTCCTCTTTGCCCCAAACAAAGTCCCTATTAATCTTGTCTATTGAATTGCAAACATTAACAGGTAATTGCTCAGTGTGCATAGAGTAAATAGGAATGGAGGAGGATACAGATCGAACCACTGTGAGTCTTGCAGCCAAGGACAAGCGTCGAGCCTTCCAAGGCGCCAGCTTTTTCTTGATCCTCAGAATTAGAGCCTGGTAGCGACTTCTGGTGACCTTACCATGAATGGTTTGGACCCCTAGATATCGCCCCAGGTCCTTGGTAAGAGGAATCGAGGCTCTGGTGCTTAGCAGCTGCGCTGTCTCCTCCCTTACGTTTGGCGACACAAACATGGAAGATTTGGTGAAATTGACCCGTTGCCCCGAACTCTCACAGAACTCCTCCAGGCATTGTTTGATGATCCGAACTTGAGACCTTCCTGCCTCGGCGAAGAGGATGAGATCATCTGCAAAAAAGAGGTGGGTGAGAGCCGGACCATTCGCCGAAAGCTTAATAGGCTTCCAGGACTTGTCCCGAACCGCCTGATCAATTCTATGAGACAACCTTTCCATACACAGAACAAAAAGATAGGGTGAAAGGGGATCTCCCTGACGGACGCCACGGGAAGGAGTGATAGGGTGCGAAAGTTCTCCATTCCAAAAGATACGCATGTGGTTATGCTCCACACAGTACATAATGCAATGAATCCAGGAACTTGGGAGGCCCACTTCTATCAAAGTGTCCCTGAGAAAGTCCCAGCGCAGTCTGTCATACGCCTTCTCAAGATCAATTTTCACCACAATCCCCCCTTTCTTTCCCTGCCTCTTCTTGAGAGAATGAAGCACCTCCTGTACAATAAGGATATTATCCGAAGTCTGTCTTCCCGGGATGAAACTGCTCTGGCGAGGGGAAATCAATTTCCGCATAAGAGGCTTCAATCTGCTAGTCATGGCTTTAGTGATCGCCTTGAGGTTGACGTTGTTGAGGGAGATTGGTCGCAGCTGGCTAACCGATTCTGGGTTCTCACCCTTCGGGATGAGCACAACTGTTGAAGAGGAAACCTCTTCTGGGAGAGAGCCATTTTCAAAGAAAGATAGCGCCATGTCTGTCAGAGCTTTCCCTACCACATTCCAAGCTTTCTGAAAGAAGATTGCTTGGAATCCATCTGGACCTGGTGCTTGCAGAGGCTTCATGTCGAAGATTGCCCTATGGATATCCAAGATGGTAAAAGGACGCAGCAAAGCAAGCCACTCGGACTGGTTTGGCCGCGGAAAAGCTCCTTTCGGCATGTGGTCAACATACTGATCCCCCTCCTGCGTATAAAGATCGATATAGAAATTAAAAACCAGGGTTTTTAGCTCCTGCATATCATGGATCCAATCACCATTATCATTCTTCAAGCACGCGATCTTGTTAGCCCGCCTTCTAATTTTGGCGATTTGATGAAAATAGGCTGTGTTGCATTCCCCAAACTTGACCCACTTCTCCCGAGCTCTCTGAAACCATAGAAGCTCTTCCTGCTCCAGAGTTTTCTCCAGCTCGGCTCCCAACTTAGAGTGGAGCTTTGCCAACCCCGGACAGAAGGCGATCGCGAGCCTCTTCTCAATACCGCCAGTCCTTGCCAAAAGTCTCATCTTCCTATGGTGAACATTGCCAAAAACGGAACAGTTCCAGTCTTGAAGCTTGCTGGCAAAATCCTGGAGAGCTTGAGGAAGAGCCACCTGCGTATTCCAAGAAGAAGTTAGCAGATCATTGAAGCTATCGTGGGTAAGCCAGGCGGCCTCAAACTTGAACTTTCTAGGGAGCTGAGAAGGTACTCCCTGAGGTAAAACCATAGTCAAAATAGGATTGTGATCTGAGCTCAAACGTGGTAGGTGAATAACAGACGTGCTGGGGAAGGCCTCATTCCACGCCAAGTTGCAGAGCGACCGGTCGAGGCGGCTAGCTTTGTAAGAGGAAGTTTCGTGTCCTCTAGACCAGGTAAAAGCCGGTCCCGAGAAGCCCAAGTCCACCAGTTCGGCCAGATTGATCCAATCACTAAATCTCCTACAACGCTGGAGGGTAGCAGCAGTGGGAGCCCCGGACTTTTCTTCTGGCATCAGTATCGCGTTGAAATCGCCAGTCAGAATCCACGGGCAGGCCACCTCCTTGCTCTGATTAACCAAGAAATTCCAAAGCAGCTTCTGCTCTTGCTGCCGCGGAGAAGCATAGACCGCCGTTAGGAGCCAATTCGGAGAGTTAGGTTTTTCCACCATGAGAGAAAGGTGTTGGGGGCCGGCCGAAGCAATGTGAACAGTGAAAGAACCGCCATTCCAGAAGACCCACACACCCCCACTCCTCCCATTAGCCTCAACTCTGGCCACATCCGAAAAGCCCATCCTGTCGCAGACCCTGTTGGCTACCTCCCCACTGACCTGCGGTTCCAGCAAGATAACAAAGTCAGGCCTATGGAGCTGAAGAGCAAGCTTCAAAGAACGAGCAAAAGCTTTCCCTCCAGCTCCTCCAACATTCCAAGAAAAAAGTTTAAAAGAATTAGACATGGTAACAAACATTGATAAAGATAAGAAAGAAAAAAAAAGGCAGAGGGAGACAAAAAAGAAAACACAAGGAAACAGAAGCACAAATCGCAGGTTAAGCGGAGGATGGGGTCTCCGAGTTGGCTTTCGTTGCTCCTCCATCAGCGCCTTGAGGAGCAGGCCCCAATTTGCCCCCCTCTGTCGCGTCCCTATTCGCTGCTGCAGAGGTCCATTCTTCAATCTGTTGAAGGGTTACCACTCCCTCCTTTCCCTGAATTTAGATTTCTTATCCTTCTTAGGTGTCCAGATTTGCAGAGCCTTGGAGGGTTCTTTGCGGACACTCATTCCTTTCGACGGGGAACCACGGCTGCCTCGTCGCTCCTCGCCGTTCTGCTTCTTCCTCTGCTTGGTCCGTGCCACCGTCGAGGGAGAGTCCGCTTTCTCAGTTTTCGTCGTCTGAGATGGATAGGGGGGGCCTCCACAATCCGCATTGTCGTGCCATTCGATCCATTGTGGACTTGGGTTTGAACCGTCTCTGGGCTCCCCACACTTAGTTTCTGGTTGTTTAGGCCCACCTTGTGTCCATCGAGCCCATCCTCCTGCACCTTAGAAGAGGATGCTTTATCTTTGTAGTTCTCTAAATTGGGCTTCATAACTGTGGTTTTAAGACAAAATGGGCTTGACCCCAAGACTCCCTTCCCACTCACAGATCCGTTGCTAGCCACCTTTTCCTTTCCCTTATTGGAGCCAATCCTTTCCTTATCTCCCCTGATCGTATCCCCTTCCCTGTTCCCTGAAGACTTGCTCTGATTCTGACTCCTCTTATGTTGCCGAGCTTTGGTGAGTGTCTCTTGCTGGTGTAAGTTTCCTTCCGCAAAATCCTTTTGTTGTGCTACTTTCCCCAACTGCACCCTGTGATTGTCATGATCCACGCCATTAGTCAAAAGAGGAGTATCCTGTTTGGGTAAGTCTCGCTGACTGCGCCTGGATTTCCGTGTCACCAACATCCAAGGCCCGAAGCCACCGTTCACCTCCGGTGCCTCAGGTTCGCCGTATGCCACCGTCGATGAGTCAACCCCACCTTGCGCCGCGGCGATGAGCTGTTGTCGGAGCTTTGGGCATGTAACCTTAGTGTGACCCACCATTCCACACTCAAAACACACCGTCGGGAGGTTCTCAAACTCAACCTTTTGCCACTTACCGTCGAGGCGAACGCGAGGCACCAAAGGCTTGGCAAGATCGACTTCAACCGCCAACCGAGCAAACTTGGTTCTTTGTTGATTCTGCGTGTGGTAGTCTAACTTAATCGACCTCCCAATCATATTACCAATTGAGAAGAGGATTTCCTTATGATAGAGGTGCACTGGAAATCCCGGAAGCTGAATCCAAACCACCATTGTGCTTGGCAGCTTATCATAGACTCGAAATGATGGAGACCATTGTTGAACAATGAGATAGTGGTAAAAAATAACCCATGGGCCATCTGTCAAAGCCTTGTAATAGTCCTGATCGTTGCTGAGCTTGACGAGAAAGAATTCCTGATCAAGAGCATGAACGTCCATTGATCCAGTCGGCCGCCATAGTGTCCTGAGACGATTACACAGGATCGAATACCCAATTGACCGCCCCAGCAGGCGGACAACCAGCGTTCTCTGCCAGGGTGCACTGAGTCTGGCCCTGAAGCTATCCGAAATGGTGAATTCTGGCTCTCCGTTAAAAGTTCCCAGAACAAGGTCGCGCTCCCCGACAGGAATCCACTGGGTCACTGGCGCTCCGGATGAGCCACTCCCCCCGGCCAGCACGCCCGCATAAGACACAGTGGGAGGAGGCGGAGATGGACTTCCGGCGGGGTTGGTCGTCGCTATCCCGTTTGAGTCCACAGTGGTAGGTCCGATGGAGCTTGTCGTTATGCGTCCGGCGATCGAGTCGACCTGCATACCCGTCACAGGGGGATCCCCCTGGGACATGATCCCCTCCTTCCCTCCTTCCGAAGGTGGAAAGGCAACCTGTTCTCCGTTTGCTAAAAGGTCCGGCGGCCGCCCATGAGGGGAAACAGGCACCGCCGGCGATGAAAGACTTTGGGGGTTCATTCAGAGAAACTTATTAAGAATCTAACTCTCACAAAACCCCCATCGTCCTAAAAGAATTCTCCTCAAATCTTTCTTCATTATTTTCTCTATGATTATTATGGATTAGCAATCAACATGATTATTAAGGGAAAATTACATATGAGAAACAATATTTATTAATTTATTTTTTTAATAAATTGTATTTTGGGAAGTTACATAAATATATTAACTATATTTTTTTCTCTCTCTTTCTCTCACTTCCACAATCTTCACCCAAATCTCTCTTCTTTCTTTTTCTCCATCTTTCATTGATTTCGTTCAGCCAAACTAATACCAATACAACAACAAAACAATAAATCAATACCAATCCAAAAGAACACTACCATTGCACAAAACACCAATACCATTCGAAAAATAAAAACACTACCATTTCACAAAACACAATACCATTGCAAATTTAATCAATACCAATGCGACAAAGAGGAGAGGAGAGGCAATGGCGTGTGAGGAAGGGCAGGAGGGCGGTGGAGTAGATGGTGTGTGACTCGTGAGGGAGGGAGGGAGGGAGGGGAGGAGATGGTGGCCACTGAGGGAGAGAGAGATTGCTATGGAGGGGAGGAGGATGGCGGAGGGGCAGGTGCGGCAGCGGCGGTGCAAGGAGTAAGGCCTGATGGAGAATGAGGTTGTATTAGGATTTGTGTATAATATATAGAAATTATTTTTTTAAAGGATAGGAATTTGGTGTGGTATTTTTTTCATTCTTAAAATTACCCTGAATCTAATCTTCACCGTCAATATAAAAAATGAATAAAATAAACATAATGAATGGTGCAGATTTTGGTAGCCACTGTGATTACTCAAAATTGAGTAACCACGCTAACACATTCCTGAATTTGTATCGTAATGCATTAGGAAAAATTTCAATGATAACAAATTTTTGAACCACTCACCCAATCTTTCCTTTTTTTGGTGCATATACAAAATAAATGTAACACTTTAGACAAATCACTTATCGATAAAATAAGAAAAAGATTTATGAACCATAATCAATATTTTTTTTAATATATATTTTTTGGGTTAATTGCAAGGATGGTCACTGGGTTTACTAAAACCGTTCATGTTTGGTCACTGCAAATATTTAATTCCATTCATGGTCACTAAGATTAGTTCAATAGTTCAAGTTTGGTCACTCATCGTTAGTCTCCGTTAGTTTTTGCTGATGTGACAGCCAACTATTATAGTTGACAGTTAAATGAGTGACGTGGCCATTAAAAAAAATCATAAAATAATAAATTTTAAATATTTATAATTTCCACCTCAGCTTTGACTGCTGCGCCGGGTCGGGTCATGTCTCACGGCGCCGAAGCCTCCCACTCCGATGATGAAGTTGTCGTTGAAGCCTCCCGTTGCGGATTTGATCTCCGAGAGAGTGGACATTGAAGGCGACAATGCCAACGAAGCAGTCCCATCGGGACCATATTTCCTCGGCCTCCCTCTTTTCCTCTTCACCACCGGCCCCCCAATTGGGGCCACCGCCGAAGTTGGGCCGACGTTAAGAGGCGACATTGAAGCTTGCTGCTGCTGTCCATTGCCACCGCCACCACCACCACCCATGTTGGACTGGAACTGCACGGGGGGGTTGGAAAGAGGGTTCATGGCGCCGGAAGGGGAGACATTGAGACCCGACTGTGGCCCGGTTGGACCCAAACCGCCAATCCCTCTCTGCTGCATATAGAATGAAGCTGGCCCGGAGCGATCCATTCATTTACTGACCCCAAATGCAGTTGAAATTGGAGTGGGGTGTGGATCTAAGAAGGCGGAGAAAGCAGAGGAAGGAGGGAAAGTTACAGAGAAAAAAAGGGGACAATAAACAGACTAAAATGCAAGTTAATTTCTACAAGAGGAAGGCAGTCAAAGCTGAGCGTATTAGAGAGCAGTCGAAACCGAAAGGAGGGGGAGAGAAATCGAAGGAGGAGGGATCAGAATCACGGTGGCGTAGATGGCGGAGGTAAGTTTTATTTTTATTTTTTAATAATTATAAAATCAGGTGGAAATTGTAAATATTTAAATTTTATTATTTTATTAATGGCCACGTCACTCATTTAATGGTCAACTATAATAGTTGACTGCCACATCAGCAAAAACTAACGGAGAGTGACAAAACTTGAACTATTGAACTAATCTTAGGGGTCGTTTGGAAGTTGTGATTTCAAATGGTGTATTGATCCAATTCATGTATTTGTGAGATTAAGTCGTTTTTTGGTTTATATAGAACTAGAATACATGCATTTACTTTTTGGAGGTCCCACCACAATCCTTCAATATTGAGGGATTTACAATATCTACTTTTTGTTGAGATTCTTCACAATCACTCAATACTAACTTTTTTACCTTTGGAACAAAAACAAAATCAAAACCTCCAAACAAGATATTTACCTAATACATCAATTGATTCAATCCATCAAATGATAATACACTAATTGTCCCGATACATGAATGGAATTAAATATTTGCAGTAGAGGTGGCAAATGGATTGGATTGGTGGATTGATGGATTGGATTGGTGGATCCATGGATCAAATGGATTGGATCTAATGGATTGGTGAATTGGATTGGTGGATCCATGGATCAAATGGATTGGATCTAATGGATTGGTGAATTCATGGATTGGATCAAGTGGATTGGTGGATTATCCATGAATCCAAATGACATCCTCAACCAAGGACCAATATGTAAAATGTAAAAAGTTTAGGTACTAAAATGTCATAATTAAAAATTTTAGGTACCAAAACGTAATTTTCCAATGATATTTTTCGTACAAAAAATAAATTTTAGGTACCAAAATGTAAAAAATAAAAATTATAGGTACTAAACCGTAATTTGCCAATGATCCATGGATCCAATCCATGAATCCACCAATCCAATTGGATTTGGATTAAATGGATTGGATTAGGTGGATATTTTTAATGGATTGGTGGATTGGATTGAAATTGCCACCTCTAATTTGCAGTGACCAAACATGAACGATTTTAGTAAATCCAGTGACCATCCTTGCAATTAACCCTATATTTTTTTGTTGAAATGAAGAAGTTCTTATACAATAGTTAAAAGATAAGGGACCTCTTAAAAAATCATCACAATATATCCAAAAACAAAATCATAATAGTATTCTGATAAGATTGAAATATTACAATACCTGGATAATTAACCCAAAAACAACCAAAAAGCACATCCCAACTATACATGTTCACTTATGGCCAAACAAGGCCCCTACCAAATTGAAAAACGATGCCTTTTGTAAGCCTTTCCCCATCATCATCATCACCATTCCCCCACAAGGGTAAATCTCATTGGATGCACCCTTGAAAAATTGCCACAAAAAGATGAAAATGTTATCTTCCCAACTCTGGTGGGTGGGCCAGCTGCTGCCCTGGCTGTCTGGGCTTATGATTGGCCCTTTCTCAAAATGTCCAAACAAAAAGAAGCCAACTTTTCAGCCCTTTGCTTCATTCCTCTGCTTTCCCCTTCTCCTTCCTTTTATGATACAAGACCATGTGTTCCTAGAAATGGAAAATTATGCACATTCTGTGTTAGCTTTACTTGGTCAAATCAGATTTAGTTAAGCAACATAAAGTAAAGTACTAATGTTCTGAATGAAATATCGACAAGTAGAACGAATCAATTTTGCATATGTAGACGAGATACACAAATGGTAGAACAATACATTTGACTATTTGAGTGACTAAAGTGGTAATATAATTCGATATAGGTACTGATTGACACATACCCTAAAAGTAGCAAGATAGGGGATTTCTTACTTCTTAAAATGGAGCTGTTAAGGTTCTACAAAGAGTGGTCTTTTTATGTAGCTGGCCACCCACTCCAGCAACGTACTGCCACCAAACATTAGAAATTTACAATTAGCAACCAAATTCCTAATAATCCCATAACCCATGATCATAGAAACAATTCCTTTCTCATTGTTTATTCCAAATCATCCATCATGGCTTAGCACATACGCAACAATTACATAGAGATATTAAAATAATTACGAGATTCATCCCAACAACCGCGCATACAAATAGAAAATATTCTCTATTGCTCAATAATCATATATCATACCCGATAACATTAAGCTTATTGATTCTAACAATAATCGTTTCTATACTGATGCTTTGATCATTATGAGTTATTTCTCACCGTTAAACCAAATGATATGGAATCAGAAGTTCATTAAGCAAATTAATTACCTCATCTTTATTTAGTTTGGATCTGAGCTTGGCATTCTCCATCTTCAAGCGATCGACTTCATTCTCCAGTTCCTGAGTGTAAGCCTAAACGAGATTAAACCCATCAAATTTTTAATGCAATGATCCAAAAATTTGAAAGGAATGAAATTGCTACAAACAAAAAAGGAAGTGGAATTTATGTTTTAAGTCATAAACGAAACAGAGGAAGTTTCCTGTTTTCTAGCTCTGGAACGAGCAGCAGATTCCCTGTTCTTCATCCTTCGCTTCTGCCACTGCTCGCCTTTTCCTCCGCCACCGTCGGCTCTCGATCTCTTCGCGTGGGAAGGGAAAACCAGAGGAGGGTTGGAGTTTCGGTTAGCGAAACTAGTGCTGAAGTTGGAAAAGCCAGGGGAAAGCAGAGGATGTGGAGAAATGGGCGCCGGCGGGTTCCCACCGCCGCCGCCGGCCGAGAGGATTCCGAAGTGGAAGACGGAAGAAGATCTGGCGGAGAAATCTGCTAAACTTGGCGGAAGCGCCGGATGTCGGAGAGAACCCAAATTGATGCCCTGCCAGACGTCTTCCATGGATTTCCCGGCGGTGAGAGGGCTCGCCGGCGGTGAAGGGGAGGAGAAAGCGGAGGAAGAAGAGGTTTCCGGCCGCATTTTTTCTCTCTTTCTTATCTGAGTATGAAATGGAAGAGTGATGTGGCTCTACTATGTGTGTTCTGATGTTTGTGGAGGAAAATATACGGGGAGTAAATAGTAATAAAATAATTAAATAGGGATGTGTACAGTAATTTGGTTAGCTCAGCTGCCGTTGGATTGGGTTTCAATTGCTGGGTGCAACTTGCAATTTTTTTGGACATAATATAAATTTTCAATTGGTTTGGTTGGAAAATAAACAATAAATGTGAAGTTGACATGGTGCTTTGTATCATGGTACGTACCATGGAATTGGTCCCATTAGTTCAAAAAGATTGCAGAGTGACAAGGAGTGATCACTGCCCTTGATTGATAATTCTCTTACTTTTATGTAACACAAAAGCTTTGCATACTTAACTTTATACTTTTTTGGTCATATAAAAGAGGGGTTAATTGCATGGTTGGTCACTGAGATTACAAAAAATGTTCAACTTTGGTCACTCGAAATATTTAAATCCATTGGAGATACTTCACTTTACAAAAATCACGTTTGGTCACTCTCCGTTAGCTGCCGTCCATCTCCGTTAACGAAGTCCGTTAAGTGATGACGTGGCAGACGGAATCGTCCTATACATGGACACGACACACATGGAAGAGGCAACCATGGTGAACAAGGAGGAAATGCTGGATTTGCCACAGGGATTTCGCTTCCACCCCACCGACGAAGAGATCATCACCCACTACCTCATTGAGAAGGTCAAGGATGACGCCTTCGCCGCAGTCGTCGTGGGTGAAGCCGACCTCAACAAGTCTGAGCCCTTGGACCTTCTCAGGAATTAACCCAACTCTTCTCCTTCTTATTCTCTCTATGAAAAAAAATGAATTATTAATTCTAAAAGGTTTCTGTCCGCTGACTGTTTAGGCAAGGCGAAGGTGGGGGAGAAAGAGTGGTACTTCTTCTCCTAGAGGGACAAGAAGTACCCTACAGGGATGAGGACGAATCGCGCCACCGAGGCTGGCTACTGGAAGGCCATCGGAAAAGACAAGGAGATATTCCGAGGGAGAGGGTGATTCATACAATTGAATCCACTGCCGACACCGATTCTTTGGATTCGACTGAAAGTTTTCGCCTTTTTGTTGCAATCCCTTCTTACGGCCTAGGTGGAAATGAGCAAGATCGTGACCCAGTGTTTGTAAAGGCAAAGCCTTTTACCCCTTCAATTGTATGAAGATTTGGTGCTGCTTCTGCTTGTGCTTCACTTTTCAATTGAGTGCTTGATCGATTCTTAGAGGTGGAGAGGAAGAAAAACGGGAGGGAGGAAGGCGACGCGGGATGGAGAAGGGTAGGGTTTTAATCTTGGTGGGTAGATGGGTTAGCTCTGGTTTGGTTAGAGGATTGGGTCAGTTTAGATGAGCTGGCGGGTCAAGTCAAACTATTTTCGGTTTAAATAGTGCTGATTAGACAATTTTGTCTGCCACGTCATTACTTAACGGACTCTGTTAACGGAAATAGACGGCAGTTAACGGAGAGTGACCAAACGTGAACGATTTTTGTAATGTGAAGTACCACCATTGGATTTAAATATTTCAAGTGACCAAACTTGAACGTTTTTTGTAATATCAGTGACCAACCATGCAATTAACCCTATAAAAGAGTTAAACTTTTCTAACAAAAGAGCACTTAAATTGTGGTGTCCACGTTTAGGTAACCCAATTCGCGTGCATAGCCCCGGTGCTCCCGTGTTAGTTCGCGAAAACACGAATTCGTTAGAAAGCGCCCAAAATCCGCGCACTGAGTATTGTAAGAACCCGACTTTTTGAAGGGAGAGCGCCGATTTCTGGTGACCTTACTTCCCCGATGGAATTGGCTGGGAAAAAGCGGCGGCCGTCGTGTTTCATCCTCCTCCGACACTATTCGATGACTTCAGTGTCTCATCAACACCAGATGAACTTTAGAGCTCCATCTTCCCTCCAATCGCCATCGACTACCTTTCACCAACTCCACTAAAGATTAACACCGCTATTCAATACGAGGACTGACGAACTTTTAGGGTTCGGATTTGAAAAGGGAAATTTCAATATTAGAAGGACTGAGAGAGTAATCATTGTCGATCGGCGTAGTAATCATCTTGGATAGAGAGGGGACGATGGAGTTGGGAATCAAGATCGAGGAGTAAAGACGGAAAGTTAGGATTCTTTTCCTTCGCCAAGCTTGTTGAACTGACGGTGGAGGTGAGGGGTAAATGGCGATAGGATAGAGACAAGGGATATAAATTTCTTTTATTTGCTCATTTTGCTAGGCAGAACTTTGATATTTTCTCATTTTATCAAAAAAATTATATAAATAATGAAATAAGTAGTAGTGTAAACAAAGTAGAAATCTTTTTCTTTAACGTAAATATACACCAATTTCATAAACTCTCATTTATGGGAGTAAGTTGTGATATTATAGCTAATATTTTGTATAATATTTTCATAGAAAATATAAATTATTAATTAAAATAATATAATATTAATCCTCTATTCACGCTCTCAATATTGAGTTCTTGGGAAATCGACGCTCTCGTTCCCGCTCTCGCTCCCGCTCCGCACTCTGCGCTCTAGTTACCCAAGTCCACGTTATGTATTCTGAGAAGTTTGGCACCTAGTCAAGAATGATAATTCAATCGTTAGGAAGTCGATTACCAACAAGTGATTGGGTAACTCAATAAGTTTTTACATGCAGTTTAGGTATGAAGAACTCTGTTAAGATGAAGAGTGTTTATTTAGGGTAATATGTCTATTTTTTATCCAAATTTTTTTATAGATTCTTTTATATTATCCAAACCTATTAAAATGCTATTAATTAGCCAAATATTTTATAATGCATCAAAATATTAATCATTTTTACGTTATCATTAATAATTTTGTAACTCTTGTCTTAGTTAAAATGCTAAAATTTTGCAATTAATGTAAAATTCTTCATCATCAAAATTTTTGGTGAAGTCCTTTGGTGTTTTTAATGGTAGAATTACTTATAGAGATATCGAAACCAAGTACATTAGGAGTGAATCCAGAATGAATCCAATTATGATCGAGGAGCCATTCACCGCAAAACAAGCAATCTAATTTGCTTTCTTAAAGCATCGTGGGAGAAAAAGGCAATTGCGAGGTTGGATTATTGGCGTGCATTAGCAGTCAGTACTCAGTAGTGTACTAGTGTGTTTATCTATGATTACATTGTTTTATTCATAAATTAATTAACACATGGAACTATGCTTACCCTAAATTATTGATCCCATTACCTAAACTAGTGAGTTGTGGAGTTTGCCCATATTTGGCTGCCGTTCGTTTTGTTAATCAATAATTATTGGCCTGGGATGTGCCAAATGCTTTGGATTAAGCCAACCCCATGTGGCTATCTTGCCCCATTCCAAGATGCCACTTGAATAAATTAGTGCTCCGTTGTTTTTTAATGCCACGTTTTGCCCAAGAAAAAGTACTTGGTAGTACAAAGGAAAATGAAAAAAAAGAAGAAGCTTAAGTTGTGGGGGTATTCGAGGAATTAGTGGGGTATTTAGTATTTACCATAGGTTCAAGTGTATACGATTAGGTGGATTTGGCCTCTTGATTGGAATATTTAGATTTAGTTTGTGATAAATTGTGTTAATTTATATATGTAGAGATCTCCTATGGTAACTTTGTATAATTTCAAATTAGGTAATTTGAATAAATATGAACCGTTAAAATAAATTAAAATTATTTAAGCCATTGATTAAAAAAATAAAAACAAATAAGAAAGACGGGCACCCAGCACTGCCGGTCACCACTTTCCCCTTTTAACTTCTTTTTGTTTTTTTTTCCCTTTTTCACATCCACGTTTACTTTGAATTTTTTCATATTTTTTTAAAAAAATTCTTACCCTTTTTAATTACACTGCTTACGTAAACTACACATCTATTACGTAAAGATTACGGAACGATAATGGTTTCTTACGTAACAATTAAATCAGAAGTTTTACGTAAGACTTACGTAATGGTTTAACACTTTAAGTAACACTAAGTTAATTTTCATTACGTAAAAGGACCGTTCATTTCGTAAGTCTTCTGTAATGACAATTTATAGCTATTACGTAAAATACACATATATTCCGTAAAGGTTACGTAATGATAGTTATTTCTTACGTAACAGTTAAATCAGAAGCATTACGTAAGGTTTCCGTAATGACTTATCACTTTACGTAACGCAAATGTATTCATTACGTAAAATGATCGTTTATTACGTAAGGCTTCCGTAATGGCACTATTACAACTGTTACGTAAAATACACATTCATTACGTAAAGTTCACGAACAACAGTTATTTCTTACGTAACAGTTATATTTGAAGCGTTACGTAAGGATTACGTAATGACTTAACACTTGACGTAATGCATAATGAATATTCATTACGTAAGAAGACCATCCATTACATAAGGCTTCCGTAATGACCTTTTACAACTGTTACGTAAGATAAGAATATATTAACCATTACGTAACACCTATTGTGTTTTACGTAATGCGACCTGTGAAACCTACTAGCAGGTAAAAATATTCAAGTCACCATAGGAAATCCCTATATTTGTATTGGCAATTCTTGGTTGATTTTTTTTTATAAGGATTAATTGAGTTTTTATCCATCACATATAAAAATTGAGGCATATTAAATCATTTATTGCGTATCACCAGCAAAGCTAAGGTCTTTTCAATCCTCCAGACGGACTCCCGCACGGCAATTGAGCTAATCGAATCAGCCACTAGCACGCACCCACACTACACTATTATACTGTTTTGTAAGTGCGGAGGATGATGCATGGCGATTGGGAAGTCCGAGTTGAGCATATCAATAGGGAGGGCAATGTGGTATTGGATTTATTGGCTTCGACGGAGCATGCGTTACCTGTAGGAGTTCACCGGATTTCGGTCCCGTATCCACTGTTGCAGTACTGGCTGTTTTTTTATCTTGTAGGGAGTCAATCACCCAGATACATTTTCCAGTAGTTGTTAAGGCGCAGAGCGCAGCCAAGGTCTTTCATTGACAAACTTACAATTACTAATAGTCTCCCAAACTGCCATTCTCACTCGAATACTAAGGAGCATGAATGAAAATAAGAAATATAGCACAACCTAATTTAACGAAAACATGAATAAAAAAATGATGAGTGGTCTAAAACGTTGACCACGAGACGTTCTTAACAAAGAGCTAAACCACCTCTCCTTTCAACTTCTAATATTTGCGCTTAGTTTCCTGTTAGTTTAGGGTTGGTTTGGATGGATCAATCTATAAATGAGTCAATTTGATCAATTGTCTCGTTTTATAAACGAGGCAATTAAAACGAGTCAATTCGAATTACCTGCCCCCACCCCAGGTA